TTGCACCACTCAACTCTAGATTATGAGTGCAGCAGAATAGAGGGTATTTGGGTTTTCTGACTCCTGTGTGCTTTTCTGGTTGCCACACTGGGTCATGAAGAATTTTTTCCCTTTCCTGCTGGCTGGGATCACAGGGTAGGGCTGTGGGCTGGAGAAAGTGCAGGGCTGGGGCCACAGTGTGCTCCTTGCATGCCCCTGCCCTGTGGGGGGCTGGGCAGGGGTGGGGTGTGTATGTTGGGATGTAGGGGGCATATGTGGGCATGTGTGTGTGGGGATGGCTGCCTGGGTGTTAGGTCCTGGGAGCCAGCTGGGGGTGAGGGGAGAGGTGAGGGGGCAGGGGGCATGTGTAATACAGCTCGCCCAGGTGGTGCAGTCTGAAGCTGCCTCTGCGGTGCTCCATATGGGGCCAAGCCCTGCCTGGCACAGCCTGCGCTGTGCTCCAGCCCGCTCCTGCTGGAGCCCTGACCAGTGTGCACAGCTTACTGGTGGGACTGCTCCCAATGAAGCTGCAGCCACCTGAGTGTTGGTTGCTTCCCTTGTCTCCAGTGGTGGGTCTTCCTCCTGCTGCACTGCTCCAGGCAGGAAGGAAGCTTCAGGTGGGCGCTCCTGCCCCAGTATGTGGGGCTCCAGCTCCACCTCCTGGTGCCTTTCTACCCACTCAGACCAGCTGTAGTCACACCAGGAGCAGCTCTGCTGGAAGCTGTGCGCACTGGCCTGGCCTGGGGCTGGTGGGCATGGGCTTGAGTCCAGCATGGGCTACCCCAGGTGGGGCAGGACCCCAAGCCGAGTGCCACAGGGGCAGCCACGGGCTGGATCCAATGAATTGCCAGGCCAGATTTTCTTGCGGGTCATATTTTGTCCACCCCTACCCTAAATCCTTTGGCCTGGAAAAAACAAACCCCCACCCCCAGTCTTGTCCAGAAAGCTTAGTCCTGTTCCAGGATCAAAGAACTTACTTGCTGTATAAGGCAGCTGCAGGTGCCACCCTGGGACACCTGGACAAAGTGAGCCCATGCCAAGGAGGCTAAAAGTGACTACTGCCTAAGCCTGTCATAAGAGCAGGTGCATGCACGCCCCAGTCTAAGCCTGGCAGTTCCTCACTTTCTCTGTCTCTCAGAGATCACCGTAAAAGACAGACTGTTGGCATCTGACTGTAGCAGGAACTGGGTTACTGTCCCGAGATGGATGGCTCCTAGAATAACTTTATTTTGCCCTTAAACTTATTCTGTTTGAAATGGGAAGTGTTTGTCGAATCTTGCCAGTTTGGCAATGGCTCAGCTTGAGGCACAGGTTCAGATCCACTGGATCCTTCAAAACTAGATGAATAGAACTGCTGGCAATTTGGTTGGAGATGGGGAGAGGAGTTGAAGAGCTTGTGCAAATGCGTTGCTGCCACATGGTGCTGTGGGCAGCAGCAGTGACCAAGGCTGTAGTGGGACCAGGCTAACAGCACAGCCGCTGCTATTTTTGCTGTGTTACTGAGCCTGTTAAACCACCTTCATGGCTATCAGAGAAGATGCAAAACTCAGTATCAGGAAGGTGGTACATTTCACAGACTTCAGTAAACTTTTCCAGAGCAGTATGTTGTACTCTGAATAGCTGCCATACTCCAGGGGCAGCCGCACTGCATTTCTGTTGTGTGACTAGAAGATGGCTTATGAAAAAACTTGGGGATATTTCAACTTTCTGTCAATTCATTCTGTTCTCCAAGCATATACAGGAGGCCAGTGTGACCAGAGACCAGGTTTAATGATGTTCAGCCCAGTGCTCCCAGCACCACACTATCTTGGGAGGACTGGTTCCACAATGAGCAGAGTTTGAAAAGTGAGCCATGTGACTGGCTGACACACCTTCCTGCCCTTGCATGCAGGTATTAGTGTAACAAGTGCAGAGAGAATGCACTAGGCTGGATCTGCAACTCCTGCATAACCCTTCATCCCCAGATCAAAGCAGCCCATGGGGAGGGGCCCTAGTCACTTGTACAGTAGCAGAGAAGCTGTTAGATTGGAATAAAGCCCCTGCAGTTTAGAGTGAGCCCTGTCTGAGACTAGATTTGAGTCCACACTGTTTCTCGTTCTAAATACAGCTGCAGTCACTGCTGAAAGGGTGACACTCTGGATTCCTGTTACCAGAACATCTGCGCCTGTCCCACAAGGACAATGCAGGATGGCGTATGGAGACAGAATGGCACCTGCAGTTAGAAGGGGTTGTCTAGTTACCAAGTCAGGCAGAGTGTATACGGACACTTCAGCAGGGAGCAGTCACATATCTAGCATATTGGGTATATTTTTTTCTCTCTCTGCCCTATGCAGAAATTAAAGGACTCACTCTGCAAGGGGTTAACTTCACAGAGTACTCAGGGACCCCAGGACTTTGCAGCGGCTGGCCCTAGTGGGATTAAAAATCCTGTTCCCTTCTTTCAAATTTATGCCACTTTAGATGCGACTTCGGTGATGCTTTGCAAGGAGTGTGGCTACTGCCACACAACCACAAAACACAGCACCCTAATCTTCCACAGATAAAGCAGGGGAGCAATGGTGGTCAATGTTCTGTTGCTACAAAGATTGTTAAAGTATGCCCAAGAAATCCAAGGAAGGGGGCATGCTTCCTGCTATAGAGGAAGGGAGAAACCTGCACAGTTGAAATCTGACATCTCATAAGTCTAAGCAGTTTTTGTAGTTGCAGTTTGACAAAGTCAGTGCTGCTGTACAAAGGGCATATGAAGATTGCAAAGCACAGGGATGCTGGGGGCAGGGCCAGTCCTGGCAGCCTGTGCAAAGCAGCTGCTGCTCTCTGCCTTTCCACTTCAGGTCCAAAGGTGGAACTCAGTTTTGTCTCTCTCTCCCTTCGGGAGCAGGCCTTGTTTTGGAGAGACTAGCCAGAAAGATCACTGGCCTGTGACCTGACCCCTAGTTAGTCAGTCACAGGAGAGCCATGTACACAGTCCCAGCATTCCTGTCCCATAAGAAATTGCATGTCAGTCCTGTTCCTGCTGCATAAGATCTCCACTTCCAGGAAAGCAAGGAACAGGTTCTGCGAGTGTGTGCAAGGCATCTGTTTTGACCACCTGTACTTAGTGAATATAGGACATGGTATTATTATATAGCTCATACCTGGTTCTAATTTAGTTCCTGGGAACTACCTAGTGATTCAGTAACTGCTCATGTCTACTTGGACCAGTTCCTTTGGTAGGAACCTGGGGAGTATAATCTCTTAGGAGAAAATGGGAGGTCTTACCAAACATGCCCTGGGCTTTTGTTCTTGGCTCACATAACCCCATAATCAGATGTGAGGAAATGGTTGTTCAGATCATGCTGATTGTGGATATTAGAAGGAGGATGTCCAGTTAGGTATTTGAGTTCTGAAAAGTTTCCCCTAACCTTGGCCTGCCACCTCCAGTTCCTGAGCCCAAGAAGAATTTTTGGACAAATGCAGCAACAAAGTATTTTTCTCACTATTACAGACTACCCTAGCATTCAGATAGCAACCAAAATCAGAGCCTTCTTATTCTAAATAAGCATGTGATAAGATACAATCTCTGTCCCAAAGTATTTGCAACCTACGAAAAAAAAAAAAAGCAAATGAAGGCTGAAAGGAGAAAGAGAAGCATTTACGGGAGTGACTCGTCTGCCACATGGACACAATTTACTTACAAACATGTAAGTGAATAAAGGACCTTTTTTTAAAGGACTTATATAGCCACATTTTCAAAAACCAAGTAGCTGTGTTTTTCCTGCTGCATGTATGCATACAGGTGTGAAAAAATTGTGCATATGTAACTATGAGCACAATGCATTGCTTTTGGGAATTAATTAGTAATTGACATATTTTGCATGTGTAATTTAGAGACATAGTTAGCTGTGTTAGTCTGAAGGCAAGCAGAAACCAGGATACATTTGTTCCTTATAGACTAATCAAAGCTCTTGAAAGCTTGTGTTGCATCTATCACACATACACACAGTTTGAGTAACGTAACCAGAGATGCTTGGCCCAGTAGTGAGAGGCCATTACTGGAATGTTATGTCCAGCTACTAACGATACTAACAGCTTCCAAGCTTTCTTGGAGATTACTCTTGCCCTGATTAGGAACTGAAGACAAGCTATTTCATTTCTCAGCTGATGCTGGGCATCTCTTTGCTTCCCTCAAGCTCCTAAAGGCCAGTTGTTGGAGAAGCAACAGGGAAAATGAAGGAACCTGATGAGCATCTTGCTCCCTTGAGCTGCTTGAATGGGAGGGAGTTAGGAGTGCAGGTTAATCTGGACTATGTGGAGTGGTCTCTTCCGTTACTGGAGTATGAGTTCACATCTCAGCTATGGGCATGCAGAGGCAATTGGCAAGGTTTTGAGCCTTAAATACACAGTAAAATCCAGCAAACCTGTAATTAAATGTTAAGGCTTATAATTAATGCTGCCTAAATGAGCAATGGTGCTTCTTGTGGAATCCAAACATTTCCTGCTGCTCCCTGTTTCTCTAAGAGCGGGTGGAGAAGGTAGTATTTGCTGTTGTGGAGGGTTGTGTCACCAGCACTTAGATCCCTGTGTGGACTCAAATTAAGATAAACCCACAGCTGGAGGAGAGGAGCTCATTATAAATTACCTGTATTTCATACCTTGTCTCATTGTTTTCCTAGAATTCATAGCACCCTTTTTTTTCAAACTGGCCCATGGGACCCAGTGGCAGGACCCAGGGGAAAGGGGGCCCCTCTGTCTAATACAGTCTGTCCTGCTGGCTTGCCCTATTCAGAAATCTCCCAATTCCACTTGCCTGCCACAACTTGTTGGGGGGAAAAAGTTAATTTGGGAGGTGTGTTGCCCCTGCCCAAAGGAGACAGTGAGAAGGAATCCTGAGATGAGATCTCACCGTCTTGTAGGGCTCCTTGTGTGCTTTGACTCCCTAGGTTTCCTGTCCTAGTTGTCATTCCGTTTTAGAGCCTGTTTGTTTTGAACCCTGGCCACTCCAAGCTTCCCATACACGGTCTTTCTTTCTTTTTCTCTTTCAGTTCAGCTGCCTCAGTCTCCAGGATATCTCCAGGCATCTACCCCTTTCGGGCCAGGATCCAGGACCTTGGACTTTGCAGCTGCACCACTGGACCCAGGCTCTTGGGTGAGCTCCCGTGGCAGGGTGAAGTATATTAGTCAGGGTGCTGAGACACCTGGTTATTAAACTTCCACAACTTCCCTTATAGTTGTCCTCAGTTCAGGGTATCCACTGCAAAAAATATCTCAGCTTAAGTTCTTCCTCCACCTCAGTGTAATGGACAGTCATTACTCAAGGTTTTGGCCCACAGGTCTGCTGTCTAAACAAGTGAGGAACAAAGGAAAACGGCAACAAAACTTCCAGGGCTGCTTGTGGCGTCCAACCAGGTCTTTTCTCCCTCAGGCAGAGACAATCCAGCCTTTTTGGCAATCTGGGCTCTACTGTCCCTCTCTCTCTTCTAGGTGAGCTTTTGTCTGTAGGGTGACTACATACCCCTAATTGGGCAGGACAGTCCCGAAATGTAAAGATCAAGTCCTAGCCCTAGGAAAAAATGCTCCAGGACAGCATTTGTCCCAGATTTCCCTTGACACATAACCCATAGCAGTATCATGTGCAGAGATCCGGGTTTTTCCATTTTATGATTGGGGCTGGGGCTAGCGGGGTGTAGGGGGCACCATGTGTATGTGTGCTTGTGCACACATGCACATGGCCGGCAGTAGGGGGCATGGGTGATGCAGGGAGGGAGTGGGAGGGGAGGCAGATTGAGACCCCCTAGGGCAGGGGTTGGACCCTTTCACTAAGTGGGCCCAATTAACAAAACTGGGTCCTCCTCAGGTCAGATGCAGCAGCTGACAGAAGTAATGGGCTGGAGGTAGCAGTTGACAGAAGCAGCCAATAGATTCCTATACAAATGTGCTTGGTGGGCCAAATAAAATGCTTTTGTGGGCCGGATCTGTCCCATGGACCATAGGTTGCTGATGCCTGTCCTAGGGGATGTATTATTTAAATTGCAGCATTTGCTGGTGTTATACGTGTTTACTTCTAAACATTGAAAACCAAAAGTTAACTTGTGCTTTCCTTTCCTATTAAAAATCAACTCTTGTTTTGACCTGTATTAAATTTGGACTTGGACTGGGGTCACCTGGAAGACTGGGGTCTTAGAATGGGTCACTCCATGGAAAGAACTGAAATGGGACTGAAGTGGCATCTAAGTAGCACACCCAGGTCTTGTGATGGCTTCATGCCTAAGGGTGAATGCTATTCATATAAAGCAAGATACAACCCATGTATTGTAAAATGCTATCTCTTATTCTGTTAAATGCGTTATACCTCCTGTCAGATTACCTGAAGTTAGTTCCATAAAGATTCTACATATTGACCTCATCTACATGAGACACAGACTGTGCAGTAGCCCAAGACTACTGTGCAGTAGCCTTGCATGGCAGCAACCATGATATGACACTATTGTACAGCAGTCTTGGGCTACTGCACAGTCAGCATCATGAAAAAAAACATTTATAGGTGCTACTGTGCAGTAACTTGGGTTACTGCACAGTCATTTAGTATATGTTTATACAAGTATTAAATGATTGTGCAGTAATGACTGCACAGTCAGCCTCTTGTGTAAATGTGGCCATCACAGCTATGGATAGGTATTTAAAAAGCCTGAGCCTGAACTGATTCAATTTTTGCAGGTTAATCTAACTGTGAAGCTTGAATCAGTTTGGAGGTGGATGGACATTCCTTTTTCATTCCAAAAATGCAGGCACATGCCTGCAGTGGCTCAGGCTAGAAGGTGGGGGGCACTAGAGCAGCCCTCCGTTCACTTCACAGAGCTGAGCTGAGGGTGGGGGGTGTGGCCAGGCCTTGACAGGATGCTCTGATTAGCCCAGCAGGGAATTGATAACAGTGTTTATCACCCCTAACTCATTGTTTATTGCCCCATTAAGAAAACAACAGAGGGACATTACCCGCTACCTGTTGATTCTGCCTTTGTCATGGCACAGACTGGAGCCAGCATGTGGTCTGCTAGCTAATATACAGATACCTCTCAGCAAGGTCAAGGGGAGTGGAGAATTATTGCTTAGCAGAGAGTGGTGAGGAGCGTGGGATGGGGAGAAGCAGCCTGCAAGTCTCTGCCTAGCTGCAGCCAGGGAGCAGAGGGGCAGGGCCAGCTCTGCTGTGGAACAGAGAGCCCCGGCCAGCCCAGAGAGCATGCTGGGATGCTGGGCGTGTCTGGTTTAGCTTAAACCAACAAAGAGTCTGGGACAGACAATCATAAATCGGTTTGAACCAAATCCATTAAGTCTGATACTACATTCAACCAGGTTTACCTCAAACTGGTTGCAGCCATTTTCACTGGCTTATGTTCACTGAACATATGTTTCTGTTACAGGTTTAAACCAGTTTCTGACCACTTAAACTGGTTTATGTGTAATGTCTGTCCCTAGCCTAAGTGTGAAGTGAATAACATGACCAGTATTATAAGCAGAGTGGGGCCACTGGGACAGCTGCCCCAGGTGCTGACTTGGAGGCAGGGTGCATGCTGAAGCACCGTTGCTGCAGCTACACAATCTCACTGGTGGCAGAGCAGCAGCCAGAAGTTGCTGTCGCCCCGTCACAGCTGCCCCAGTTACCCAGTTGCACTGTTACAGCTCCGAACATGACTGCCTGATTCCTCTGTCCAAGTAAAAACATAGTGGTGCCTTTTATTTGGCTTGCATTCTACCTTAAGGTTTAGCTATTTTGTTTCTATTTCAGAAAATAAAAAGCAAATCCACATCTTTAATATTAGACAGAAAGTTTACTTCACCCACACAAAGGCTTTTCTTCCAGCCTTGAAATATACACCGTTGTTTTTGCTTGATATATGAGTCCTCTGCTATTTATTATAAGATACTCCTGGCTACAAAGGCTACTTTATTTTAATATCCAAAAATGGCACTCAGGTACATGGTTAATATATTGGTGCTAATGGAACTACTCAAAGTTGGCAAAGCTAGGTACATCCTTAAGTCTTTGTAGCATTCGCCCTTAGTTAATTCTTTTTGGGCGCATGTGCACATTCATTAATGTGCTGTAATTATGGCACATTAGGCTGAGTACCTGTAATATGTACTAAATGCACTGTAATTGGCACTATTGCGCATTAACACAGATGAACGCTTTTTAAGTGATGCTTAATGCCCATTGGACTAAAGCTAAAGCATGAGTGCAGGTGAACGCTTTTTGTATGCCGTTTAATACCCACTGGACTAATCTACTGAACATTAGTGCATTAGCATGGGTTTTGCCAGCAGTGCTAATGTGCGGTTGAATTAATCCAATGGGCATTTAGCATCTCATGTAGACTGCACCCCTTCTGGCTTAAAATTTGGATTTTTAGTGAAATATTATAACCTTGATTTAATAAAAGCATGTGTCAAAAATAGTCGCATCTTACTGGCTTATTCTTCTGTTGAAGAGGAGGGACTGTAGCTAGAGTTATATTATGAAGTAGAACACTTTTGTAGTTAGAAGTGTAAACCTGATCTAGAAATGCTAGTGGGATCTGGGTCCAGGGACAATTTGTCCACCTGCTCTCTTTGAGCTATGATGGAACAGTTTGAAAATTTGGAGGGTCTATAGGTGTGTTATTTCGCCAAAGCTTTTGTTTCTTTCCCAGGCTGCATATAAGTGATATAACCTGTGTTTTCTACACACTGACTTTTGAGCCACATGTCCTGGTAGATGGCTGATACAACATGACATCTTTCAGGACCACAGGTTAACTTTGAGCCATATAATACTGGTGCCTGCATTCTCCTCCCACAATCAAACTGCAGGCATAAATGTGACCACCAGCAGTTCTTTTGCCAAATGGTACAGTGCTGTATCTGCTTTTCTAACCAGCAGCTTAGAAAAGCAGATATGCAAATTGGTGCTCTCAGTTCATTGTGTGAGCAAAAGATGAGGGTGCAAATGCTGTAGGATTGAAAGGTGAGAAGAACAAAGAAAAAGTAGGGCTGTTCCTGTGGACCCCTGGAGTATTGCTTAGTTTTCCAGGGCCAAGCAATTGACTGATTGTGGAAGATGTCATGTTGTATCAACCCCATGTATACAGATCTAACCACGACAGAACAGCACGCTCTCTGCCCTCCCTCCCCTTATCTTTCTACCTTTATTTTTCTCTCTTGTTCTTTTCCTCTCTTCTTTTCTTGTTTAACTTGCTCATACTTCTTTGCAGAAGCCCACCCTTCCTCCAGCTCCGGGTGCAAGGCATAGAAGGAACTGAACCCTTTGATCCTTGACCAAGACCCAAGTCCCATTAGGAGAGAGCAGAGTCCTGAGAAGAGTGGGGGAGCGCATGGTCGCAGAGACCATTTCAGGAGCAGGGAAGAAAACGTATGGTTCCTGGGCAATGACCCAGAGTGAGAACGAAAGGGGTCATCCTGTACTAAGTGACATGTGCAGGAGAACTGGAACCTAATTAAGCCACCCAGAAAAAACTGACAGTACTTGTTGCTTCTTTTTGGTGTCTCAGTCCTCAAAGATGAACTGGAGTCCATTTGAACTGTCTGTTCCTTCTTTGAGTTCTTTCTGATGACTTTCAGTAGAGCATGGAGTGACTCACAGTTCTGCATCATAACCCACGTAATTTAGCCGGCTCTTATGTGGCCTGATGTAACTCAGTGTGAAGGGAGATACGCTTCTCCCAGCCTGTGAATCACCCATAAGAAGCATAATCTGTTCCTGTTATTCAGAAAAGATTTGGGGTTAGTCTGTCATATCCCTGAACTAAACCATCAGAGATGAGAATGAAGGTCACTTATCATGCCTCCTGTGTCTCAATAGTTTGTCTTACATAAATCATGCTTCCTGCTCAAAGTCTCCTGTCCCATTTTTCAGATCTCCCTAAATAGCCTGTCTGGTGTTAGGAAGGTGTGAGAATTTCAAGCCCCTACGAGAGCAACCGGAGACTTATATTCTGAGGCACTGCTTAGTGCTCTGAGCTGTGCTATGTTACTTTGGGCAGTGCCTGGTATCATAAGGGATAATGTAGCAAACCTGTAGCTGTCTTCTCACAGAATTGCATCATGTTAAAAGTAATAGATACATATTTTAATGGATTGTTGGGGGAGGATGGA